AAACAAAACAAAAATTTAGTAGGCAAGCTTTCATTCTCCCCTGTGTGACTTTCTCAAGCCACATGATTCTTCATTCCGTTTCTTACTATTTGATCAGGAAACAGAATTTTATGGTTGGTAGAAGCCTAAAATTATATATTAATGCAATGAAATGTCACTGGAATTGTTTTATATCCAATTTGGTATTTGTATCTATCGAACATTATATCTTTGTATTACTTGTGTTTCAGCAGTTAAGATGGGACCAATGCTTGTCACCACATTTGATTTTAGATTATTATTATTTGGTTCATTCTCTTAAAAAAGAACAAAAATCTTATTGTAGACTTATCTTACAGTTCTTGGGTGTGAATGTTATCACCTACAATTGACCCTAGAGGATGTAGCCCTGATTTAAACCAGTTTGATCATGTCAGAAGTTCGTTCATGCCACATCTGCTACGAATGTGCTTCTTTGTAATACATGGTTGCGCACATGTTTTCTGCCGTTTTCCCCACTACCCAGTCATAACATTTTTATGAGAACAAAACCGAAAGTGCGAAGCTAATTGATTGAAAATGGTGAAAGAAATACTTATTATGTCATAAACCTAGAGAAAAGAAATCAACTACAAAAAGGGATTCCTAAGTTTAAAAAATTAGAACGTTACAACCGTAACATCAGCAGAAGATGAGATATACTTGTCTTGATTAGAGAATACATCGCAGTCTTAAGGAGATATCTCAATCTGCTTCGGGTTCAGATCAAAGTGATGGTGATACCATTATTAGCTTTTGGGTCGACACTCCGTCTGGACTCGATCCTCTGTAACCGCCCTAATAAAAAAAGGGATATACATGTATGTTGTGGGAATTGTTCATAAAAAACTGCCAAATAGGCGCCATTTTTTGCTCTGTTGAACCTTTGAATATGAAGGCTCTCAGCTGATGATGTCTACATCCTTTCCATTGTGTGCAATTTGGATATAGTTAATATAATACATGTATAAAGATTTTTACAATGATATTTTAAGCAATTAACAATTAACATCATTCATTGGCCAATGTAATAATCTTGTAGACATTTTTATTCTTCACTGTTTTGTATGGATCCCTATTCAAACGAGTCATATTTTAGCAGAATTGTTTTGATAGAATTATATTCTAAGCGTTAATATGATTTGTTAGTAAGTTCTTATGCTGTTCTATTTGGAATAATTATTTGAAGTCGATTGGGAGAGGAAATGTATTAAAATGTTATCTTGATTTATGTACAAATTGAATATGTTTGAATAACCAAAATGCTTGATTGCAATTCCGAAGAGTGCAACGTCTTGTGAAACTGCACCACTGACTGCTCAGTGTATCTGTACAGGCAAACCTTGTTAAATAAGAGTATGGTATGTTAAAACCGACTCTTAGTCTTCATAATATAGTGGAACCTTGGTCTTTGGGACCAGAGATGATTACTTTGTTATACGAACATATAACAAGGGATCAGTTGTTGAATAAACCCTTGCTATATCAGGGCTAACTAACAAACAAACAAGCAAACGACAATCAAACAAACAATGAAATACATAGATGCAGGGCGGTATTCTGACTTTGCTATAGATATAAATGAGAGTTTGTTATAGCATTGTTTTCTAATACAAGGTTCCACTGTTTAAGTGAAATCGTCAAATACAGCCACATTTGAAGAAAAAAAGAAATAGTTTGTAATGATGCATATGAAGCAAATTTTGTTATGTCTGGGTTTGCCTGTTTTTTTATTAACAGTAAATGTGTTTTTAATCAAGAATAAATAAATATGCATGAATCAATAAGACAATATTGTTTAATGTCAGTTTTTTCTCTGGACTGATCCAGCACTCTATCTTCATTCAATTTGTTGACAGTAGATTGCTATGCTTTTTCTCATTCACCTCAAAATTTATAACAAGTGTGTTACATAATTATGTTGATTAAATGTAGACTAATACCCCATTCACAGTGGTTTTGAAATTTGTAGCGGCGTTGTAGCGGAGCGACGACACCGCCATAACACCGCTACAAATGCATTCACAGTAGAAAAGTTATCCCGCTGCAGCAGCGGGATAAATATCATGTACCCATTCACGCTGCAGCGGGTGATTTTTATTACCTCCGTAACAAACACGTGTATGCATGGCTCATGACCCGCGAGTGACCCCGATATGACCGGAAATACTTCAGCGCGGGGTTTTAGGGTAAACATGTCAAGTTGCTTTTTGTATCCTCGATCATATTACTTTTTAAAAAACTAGCATTTTTATTGCTTCCAGTCAGAATATTTTAATTTTTTGAAGTGTGAAATATTTTTATTTGGATAATTATAATATCTACATAATAATAAAATCAATTTGAATCCACTGGTTACTTTATTTCTATTTCATTTTATGTTCCCCATTGCTGGAGAAAAGAGGTCAGTGATAGGTAAGTAAACAAATCACACGTGTTTGTCGCGGTGTTATAGCGGAGAGCCTTCACACTGAGTAAACACCGCGACAGCAGCGGGACTGTCCCGCTGCTGTAGCTAGGCGAACCTAGCGATAGTTTGACGCGGCGTTATCGCGAGGCGGTGTTATCCCGCGATAGTTTATAACGGGTCCGAGCCTTCACACTGAAGACAACACCGCGACAGCAGCGGGACAGTCCCGCTGCTGTCGCGGTGTTTGAGGCCACTGTGAATGGGGTATAATTGTTACATTACAAAGTTTTCAGAACTTAGAGACAGCAGGGAGAGGGAGAGGGAGAAAGAGAGAGAGAGAGAGAGAGGGGGGGGGGGGGGGGCAAAGACAATTGGAATAGAGAGTGGTAGAGATTTGGTTTATAGAAGATAGGTTCATTGTGAGACAGATGGAATGAAAGAGAGATCAGAGAGATAGAGGGAAGGGGTGAACTATTATTACTATTAATTGGACTTCACATTTTCTTCTGTTCTCCTCCTTTTTCTTCTTTTTCTCCTTTTTCTTTTTCTCCTTTTTCTTTTTCTCCTTCTTTTTCTTTTTCTCCTTCTTTTTCTTTTTCTCCTTCTTCTTCTCGTCCTTATTCCTCATTTTCTTCTTTTCTTCTCCTACTCCTTCATTTAAACTTTTGGGTCTCTAGCTTTATTTTTATTTTTTTATTTTTTATTTTTTTTTTAATGATATTTTATTTTCTCCATTGCTTTACACAAACAATAACAAAAATTATAATAACAAACAATGACAAAATCAATACATAAAATAATCTGCATGTTAATATTATTGTATAGAATATGATTTCACATTCACAGCTAAATAATACAAAAGAACTTTTACTATTTACATCAAATAAAGCATGAAACATGCATGCATAAAGAAGGCATGAACATAAAAAGGCATTAAAAAAATATTTATAAAAAAACTATTATATACCTATGTAATTCATGTATACACGGTATAAACATTACATACAATATACTACGCAATAACTAAACTAAACTAAACTTTTGAGAACTTAAAAGTTGCATCGGTTTGCGACTTTGAAATATTGTAACAGAAAAGACCAATGGCAATGAGTGTTGAAGATATTCCTATAATGTTTTAAACAAAAGATGGCGCTAGACCACATTTGACAAGTTTATTTTCTTTTTTTTCTTTCACTCCAATGATATTTCATTTTCTCCATTGCTTTTCACAAACAATAACAAAATCAATACATAAAATAATCTGCATGTTAATATTACTATATACAGAATAGGATTTTACATAGCGCTTTCCAGGACCGAAGGCCCTCTCAATTTACATCAAATAAAGCATGAAACATGCAAGCATGAAGAAGGCATGAACATAAAAAAATATTTAAGTAAAAAATGAAAAATAAAAAATACTTACATACACACATACACACACGTGCACAGACACCCACACAAACACCCACTTAAAACATGCCTACATTTTGTGGGAATCTCTACTATTATATTAGCCATGTCCATTTCATTGCTTCAATTCGCCTTCCTTATTTTATTTATTCTGCACGAAGCTATTCTAAATTGTCCCACTTTCTAAAATGATATGTTAGTGTACCTCGGTCCCCAGCTAATTTCTTCTCCTCCTTTCTATTTCTATACATAAAATAATCTCCATATTTTATCAAAATATCATGATTTAATAACTGTTCCTTCCCTATGTTAAACTCAACTATCCCTACATGGATACCTTTCCAATTTATATTTGTAATCTCTACTAAATTAAATAAATTCCCACACTCTTCCCAAATTGGTTTTACTTTCTCACAAAGACAAAACAAATGCTCGTAAGTTTCTTCATATTTACCACAAAAAGAACATAAATTACTATTAACCCGATTTTAAATGTAATTTAAATGTAATTTAGTATATTATAAAGCTTACTATTCAATGTGCACTTTCTAAGTCTTAAAAATATTAATTCTATATCTTTTCCATGAATATTATAAGTCTGTTCTAAATGTCGTTCTGCATATGATCTTTCTACTCTCTTATTTAATAAAAAAGCGTATACAATTTTTGAGGTTATTTGATCTAACATTATACCTTTTCAAACATATATCTAATTCCCTATCTATATTTGAGTGAGTATTTTTATTTAAAAATTGTTTTCATGAAGACGGGATGCCAAGAAAAATACGTTGTATTTTACTAATTTCTAAACTATTTAAACCTTTTCTTTGAAATTCCTCATTAGATTTTATATTACCTTCCTTATCAACAATATGATGCAACTTATAAACATTTTTGTTAAATAATCCCTCATCGAAAGGAACATGACCATCGATAAAAACAAATCTATTATTATAGATAATCTCATTCCTCCTAGAAACACTTCCCTTTAACAAAAATATTCTCGTAGCCATCCAAACATCTAGCATGTCTCTATAAAATGCTGGTAATACTAATTCAGATATACCTACGGTTGCATTATTATGAAATATCAAAATTCCTCCAGCATCTTTAGTTAAAAAAAATTGACGCTCTATAATCTCATGGCTATTATACAAGAGGGCGCTCTTTCATCACGCGTCGTTAATGACGTGTTCAAATTTCCGGAGGCAGACTACATTATTTCATAAGAATACCAATCGTATGTACCCAGTTATCTCTTCGATATCGGGGTTTGATTTCTAAGCAGATGGCCTCTTCAAATATTGGAATAGGTATGATTGATATCATTTAGGTTTTATTGATGCTGTACACACAAAGCCAAGGAATTCTGTTGCAATTAGAAAACTTTGAGAAAGTTTCAAAGTCCCATATGTTAGTATTTGTGTTGTATTTTTATTGTTATTCGAGGTGGGCCGGAATTAACACTAATGTAATGAATAACAGTAAGTACACGTAGCCTAGGTGCATTAGCTATCCTGGCTAGTATATTAAAAGCTGTGCTATTGATTTTCAACATTTCAAACACCACTGTACAAAACTCGACCAATTTCACTAAAAATCGGTACTTTAGTGACGATTGAAGTGGAACTGGAAGAATGAAGAGCAGTGAAGAGAATAAGATCAATGTCAATGAGGAAATAATATTAATAGAGAAGAAGAAGAAGAAGAATGATGGCCTACAATGTATGCCTCCCTCCCGGCTAGTCTACCTTCAACCTGCACACCTGGGCATCCCTATACCGCCACACACATGCACTTTACATCTGCAAGAATCTTCAGCAGCGAAGGAGGCAAATTATCCTGAAAAAGGAGAAGAAGAAGAATATTTTTAGCCCATGTTTGCTTGGTGCCCTTGCATAATTGAAGGAGTGTTTGCCTGCGCATATGTGTAACTGCACAGTTCTAATATAACAAAACACATAATAAAATCTTTGTTTCTATTTTAGTGATGCGTATTTGTGCCAACAAAAAAAAAAGATGAGAAAAAACTGTAATGAGAAATGAGAAGTTTAATTTAAGTAATTTTATTCACACGCCTCTAAATTTGAAAAGTCATCTTTCAAGTCAAAAACTTAAAGTGAATGAGTGCTCAGACATAGAAAATTAGAAGAAAAAAAATTGCAATGTTCAATTGACACCACCTTTTTTTTTTGAAAATGACATTCTGAAACCTGAATTTCAATTAAATTTAGCGATTAGCGATTACTCTCTAGAATACAATGTTTAAAATGATTAAGATGAGATCAGACATTAGCTGATTAGGGGAATAAAATTCAAGTGAAATGTTAGTCCAAATTTAATTTTCTTTATTATCACTCTTTGTGCAGCTTAGCTTTAAAGGACCTCCAGCCATCATGAGCGGAAACGTCTTGTTTGCCATGATCACTCGTCTCCGGGATGGTCTGCCGTTGTCAGCGACCACGGACCATGACCCGAGTCAGAGGGTTTTAGAGAGCAAGAAATACGCCAAGATTATCTCCAAGAAAGCCTCTCAATTCCCAGACAGATGCTCCATGTTCACCGGTAGCCATTGGTTATAGTAAGTATCAGGGGTTTTTTTCCTTTTAAATTACTCCTACAAATCGGTATCATTTGTTGCACAAAGGACCTAGACGACTGCAATTTTAAAGCAATATCTCATAGATTGGGGTGTGCATATGCATACAAAAGTGAATATGTCTTTAAATATACAAGGACAAAGACATTGGTGTGGAAGTGTGCAACCCTTCCAAAGTGTTTTTGAGACAAAATATATATTTCTCTCTGTATGTATTAAACTTGCAAGTTAAAGTCTACCAACAAATCACCTGAAAAATAATGTTTGTATGTATGAAATTAACTTCATTGATTTCCCTTTTATTGTTGACAGTTTTATTTCATCTCTCGGTGTTTGCTTCATCACGATGTGTGAGGAGAGCTACTCTAGCGTTCTAGCATTCTGCTTCCTTGATGAACTACAGAGGGAGTTTATCTCACTCTACGATAATAAAAGGGTGGATAACGCCGTCAGACCTTATGCTCTCATTGATTTTGGTAAGTGAAGACAGTCATGAGAATAAATTAGAAATACATATATAATGTTACTACTATTTTTTAATTTTTTATTATGAATTCTAGAAATAATTAATAACTAGTAATTAATAATTACAAAAGATCGTTTAGAAAAAATACTAGTCATAACTGTTTCTCTGCTATACTGTAGTGTATTTCCATTATAAGTAACCAATCTGAGCATTTAACAGTGTGCTATTACCCCCATGTTCCATTTACCTGGTCTTGAATAAGATATGTGGAAAGCCCACATTTTTCTGAACATTTTGATATCAAATACTCATTGTGGCAAAATACAGAGTTACGTCTTTGTGTCACTGAACCCTCGACTGATAATTGTTTGCTTCAAGCATTGAAGAAGATATTACTTTACTCAATCTCTTTCCATTCAAGATCGCATCATACAAAAGACAAAACAGAGATACAACAATCCGATGACCCTCAATGCAAGACAGAAATATTCTGACATGACCTTAGAGGTCAAACTCCGTCCGCCGTACAGAATCAGCATCGATGATCTTGAACCTACAGGGAGAAGAAACGTCAATGGAATCAGCGCTCATCATATTCCAACTTGGCAAGCTGTAAATTTGAGTGATACTGAGGATATACCTAAACCAACAAGTAAGTAGCCTACAGTCAAACCTGCTTTTAGTGACCACCTGTCTACAAAGACCACTTTTTTGTTTCCTTTAAAAACAAATTTTCATTGAAACATGTACTAAAGGAACCTGCTTACAAAAACCACCTGTCTACAAAGTCCACTTTTTTTGTTTCCCTTGAAAATGGTTTCTCATTGAAACATGTACTAAAGGAACCTGTCTACAAAGACCACTTTTTGTGTTTCCTTTGGGCATGTACTAAGTAGCAAGCCATTTTATTGTTTCAAACACAGCAGAAACTTAAGACTCCTTGGGACCAAGACAGGGTTCTCATGGTCATGGAAACCTTAATTCCTCTGGAAAGTCATAGAAATTGATTGTGGGTGTGGGTTGTGTGTGGCTTTGGTAGCTATCCCTTTTGAACTGACAATGGGCATAGTATTTGTATGCCGCTTGAATGATAATAATTGATTATTTACATGTAGAAGTGCTGAAAACAAAAATTACAACAACGCTTACAAAATCACAGATATAATGCTGGATATAGCTTGGGGGGGGGGGGTTGATTTTATATGTTATGCAGATTTGTGGCTTACAATTACTGTCCAGTTCAACATTCATATATATAAACAGTGTTCAAAACATATGTTGGGCATTTTTATATAAATTATTTGGAACAAGGAGCAGACAATGCACACTGCAATAAATGTGGGATTTTTAAAAAATCCAATATTAGCCTATGAGGACAATCACTTGTGAAATCACCTTTTGCAACAAATGGAGCACAAAATCCTCAAGTTGACCGTGAAATTTTACCTTTTGCACTTCAGTCTTCAGAGTACAAGAATAGAATATACTCAGTAAAATCATTTAATCAATCAATCAATATATGCAAAAGTTGGTCAGGCATGTAATCATACTCCAGTATGATTTTTAATTTCTATTTTACCCCAATCCCACCTATTTTACAGTATAACAAGTAATGCATGAATAATAGATGATGGCGGCATGTTTGTTTCACCTGTGTATATAATTATGTACATGAAGATTCTTGAGATCAATTGGAGAGATACATTGATATGTACAGTAAAGTGTATGCAGAAGAGATATATAAGCATGAGAAGAGGTGGAGGTCAATAAAGAGAGGGGGAGAGGGAGAGATGAAGTGAGAGAGAGAGAGAGATAGAGAAAGAGAGAGAGAGAGAGAGAGAGAGATAGAGAGAGATAGAGAGATAGATAGATAGATAGATAGAAAAAGAGAAGAAACAGATAGAGAAAGAGAGAGGGGGTTTATGAAAAAGACAAGAGGAGAAAGTTGGGGGTAGGGAGGGTGAGAGGTAGGGAAATAGGTAGAAGAAAAGGAAAATGGGGAAGGAGAGAGGAAAGGAGAGGGAGAAGAGGGGGAGAGTTAAGGTAAGGGAGTGAGAGATAAAGAGAGAAAGAGGAAACAGAGAGAGAAAGAGGGGGGGGGCAAGAGGGAGAGTGAGGAAGAAGAGGAGAGAGAATTAAGATAAGGCTAGGTAGGGAGAGAGGTAGGGAAATAGGTAGAAGAAAAGGAAAATGGGGAAGGAGAGAGGAGGGAGAATGAAGGTAAGAGAGAGAGAGAGAGAGAGAGAGGGAGGGAGGAAGGGGGATTAAGGTAAGAGAGAGAGAGAGAGTGATATATATTAATATAGAGAGAGAATGAAGGTAAGGGAGAGAGAGAGGGGAGGAGGGGTAGAATGAAGATAAGGGAGAGAGAGATATATACAGAGCAAGATACTAGGAGAGACTGAGACACATCTGCTATTAGATATGCAAAAAAAAGCAGATCGCGTACTCTCTGAAGCATAAAGGAATGGATATTAATCAAATTATAATTTGAATGATATGATGATTGATGTTTATTTTACCTGGCTGCTAAGAAAGCATGCACATGCGTATATAAAGTATCCAACTACATGTAGGGGACTGACAGCTTTAAGTCCCCACTGACGTATTTGATGATGAGGATTATTGCCTTACCAAAGGCAGGGATCGACAGTAACAGGCACTCAGAATCTAAGTCTAACCCACATCTTTTTGAACTTTTTACATAGGGCTCATACATATTACAAAGTACAAACTCTTAACAATATCAATCCAGACCCCTTCCAAAAAGTTAGTGTGGACTGTAGAACCCTGTAAAAGGGCACAGGCACCTTGACTTGATTTAGAACTCAAGACCTACTGGTTACAAGGCCACTGCTCTACCACTGAGCCATTGCACCCCTCAATTCATTACTTTTGTCAAAAATAACCTTTCTTTACTTAATTTTCGCCTTAGATAGAATACTTAGATAATAGTAAGAGCATAATAACAATTCTTCAAATAATAATTTCATCTATAATTAGAAAAAAAGAAATGAAATACATGTACATGTACGATAGAAGAGCCCTAATTGCTTGCTCGCATCACATCTAGAGTATGCATGGTTGTACTTGTGCCTGTACCAATTTGCACAGCTGGGAAAGAAACCAATGACTCTCAAACCAATTATCAATATCAAGATTACACTTGTATCAATACAATTTGAGAAATACATGATTGCTGGTAGGGTAGTATCATTACAGTGTGTGGTGTATGTGTGTTTGTGATTGTGTTCTGGTGGTTATTATCATTTGCATATTTCAGAATATTCAATCATACAATTCAAGTACAAGGGCTCAGTATTGAATAAGTTGCTGGGTGGATGCACACGTATGCTACAATCCTGTTTTTATCTAGGATATACGTACACATCATTATTAGTAAGTTTGCAATATTACATCTAAATTGTTCAAGTCATTATTTTCTGAAGGAGTATACTTCATCATTATACAAGAAGCCACTATTATTATTATTATTATTATTTTTGTTTAATTATCAAATCATCTACTATTGTATTAAAGTTGGATAGAACAGGCACACATATCCCTGCAATCCTGTTTTTTAAAAAGAATAAACATACATGTGCAGTACTTTAGATTAAAATTAAATCTTATACTATAAAATCTGCTCTCTTTTTCTGAAGTAGTAGACTACATGTACGTCAATATAATTTGTTTAAATCAAATCATTATACTATTGTATTAGTTGGTTGGCAGATGCTAGGGCACAGGTATACTTACAATCCTTTTTTGTTAGGGTATACTGTACACTATTAGTAAGTTAATTATCAAATCTTATACTTTTTGTTCAAGTTGCTGTTTTCTGAAGGAGTATACTACATCATCAGAATTTCTAAAGTATGACATTGTATGTTATACAATAGTATAAGTTGCGGGGTGGATGCACATGTATGCCTACAATCCTGTTTTGATCTAGGATGTACACAATATTATTAGTAAGTTTGCATGAACTGTTCAAGTTGCCTTTTTCTGAAGGAGGATATTACATCGTTAGCATTCTGTTAGTATCAAATCTTATACTACTAGTATTGTATAAGTTGATGGGTGGATGCACATATGCATGTATGCCTACAAATGCAATCCTGTTTTAGGATAAACACTACGTTATCGCCAGTCTACTACCGGTAATTAAATCTTAGTGCTTTTGTTATGATTCCTGTTGATATATTTCTAATGTATTCTCATACAGTTGGCAAGTTTTTGTTATTTACAAAGCAAACCTTTAAAAAAAAAAATGTTAAAATAAAAGTAAAAGTTGAAGTAACTTCAATTTTCTTCCAACCCTGGCATAGAGATATCAATTGGTGAATGTTATCTCAATTATACAAGAACTAAGTGTCTTTGTTATTACTATTCACTTTTTTTCCCTTTCATTTCCCTCAGATTTCCGGAGACCATTTTCCAGACTTGACTGGATGGCTAAACTACTTGTCTTCCTCTCCGTACTGTGCGGGACTTTAAATCTTGCCAGGATTATGGCTGTTTTAACATTTGGCACTTCACCAGTAAGTATATATCAGATTTGTTTTCACCAATTTAGATCTACTGGGACCCGAGCTAACTCCTCACTAGGGACAACTGGGACATAGCAGAAAATCGAGGCTTAGCCAAGAAAGCAAACCTAATCTACCGTAAAGCCTAATTAACCTGTTAACTACTGAATTCTTATATTCCCTACAGGTTTAATACAGAAAATACTTGTTTCCAGGAGGCAATGGGTTAGGGCCCTAACTCCAACATTTTATTTGTTGACAAAATAAAGCTTAGTGCAACAGGCAGGAGCAAAGTTTGGATCAATGGAAAGCCTTTTCATAGACCTCCAAGTTATGGTTTTTGCCCTCGCACCATTAAGTATTCTGTCATATCTTTACAGTACGAACCAGACGAAAAGGTAATTGTGGCCCAAGCCATGGCTCTACTCATCATAGCTGCTCTCCTTAGCTACTACCAATCTTTTAAACTCTGGACGTCGCTAGGTCAGAGATCATTACGCCAGCTTCTGGCCTGCGTATTAGTCATTGTGTGCAATTACTCCCTCTACAAACTCTACTGGCGATTCCTTTTAACAGCTGGGTTCCATTCGCTAGTAGCTGTACTGGTGGCCTGGAAAATGAGAGCGGGATCAGGAGATTTTAAGTTGCCCAACTACACCGTGTAGCTCTCCATTTGCCGTAGATCGTCATCCTGGAATTGCCATATTCTTTAGAGTATATTATAGATGTACACCGTCCATGTGCTAATAGTTGTCTAATGCAGTCCACAGTTAGCTCCATTGGAATGGAATGGTGGTGGTTATTGGCGACCAAAGCTGGGAAAGAAATAGTATTAGACATTACAGTTCTCTAGTTTAATATTTTATAAGAAAGACTACTTAGTTTGTAATTGAGAGCAGAATATCACAGAGATAAAGGAATTAATTATTGATAGAGATGGAAAGACAGCACTGAAAAAGAAAGAGGCACTATGAGACAGAATTAGTATATTTATAAATAGGGAATGGGAGAGAGAGAGAGAGACATTACGGGAGAGAAAAGGGATATGAAAAGGAGAGAAGGAGTGACATGGCCAGGAAGTATATTTCATTTTTGACTCTTTTGTGTGTGTTAGAGAAAGACAGAGAGACAGACAGGGGGAGGGAGATATATATATATATAGAGAGAGAGAGAGAGAGAGAGAGAGAGAGAAAGAGAGAGAACAATTGAAAAAAATGAAAATAAAATGTTATGAAAGAGAAGTAGTTTGAAAGAAAATACCAAAAAAACATCTCACTTCGCCAATATTTGACATACAAGTAGTATCTGTATAGAAGTATTGTTTATTGATTTGTAATATAGGTTTCAAACGCAATTGTACCCTGTTTGCAGCTGCTTATTTCATTTGAAAATCAAGTGAATATCAGAAAAAAGAAATCAAATGAGTAAGAAAGAGAGAGAAAGAGAGAGAGAGAGATCATTTTGATGATCTCTTTTTAAGCATCTCATTTGTGTTATTATTTTGCCTTCAAATGTTTACTGCATACTATAATAAGTGTTTGTATAATATTATACAAACACTTTTCAAGTCTTACCCATATTTGTGTTTCTATGCCATAAGATATCATAAATATGCATACCTATTGTGTGCTTGGTAAGTTTTACATAAGTGAAGATATTTCTAGATTCTATGAGTCTTGAGCCTGCTATATATACCATTCTACTAGTCCATGGAAGCTATGTTATAGTGCCAGAATTAATGTTGCAGCAGGTGTATTACTGAGTTTATTGGGCACTGGTCAGTATTAATACTTTCATTTAATATATCTGTTTTTATTAAAGCCCCACTGCACTAGTTTGGCCAGGAAGGATTAGACCTCCCTGTTTGGTCACTGACATGTGGTTATCTCATCAAAATAATCAGCTCTCAATTATAAGGAAAATGGGATCATGGGGGATCAACGGTCACCGATTAGGCATTGTTTGCTATATAGAGGTCGCAAGTAGCTATTAATAGTGCAGTGAGGCTTTAATACTTGATTAATACTTGGTTTCACTTACCGGTACTTTCCCATTCAATGAAAAGAAAAAGAATGGATGTGTTGTTAACTTGTTATAAATTATTTATCCTTTTAATCAAGACCAAATTAATTTTTTACCCATACGTGTTATACCTGTTCCCTGTAAGCATGACATTTGCAAATGATGATACCTCATGATTGATAATGCTGTAACTTATTGAAATGCCAGTTATGTCCCCCCTTTTTTAAAACTAATATATGAATGATTCATAATATACTTATGAAGTATACTTCTGATTCATATATATTAAAGGCTATCGTGGTGCTTTTAGTTTATTGTATATACATACTTTTAGACTTTTGCTTGAAAAGAAATAGCATATTACTATTAGGAATAAAATCCTTTAAATCAGGGCTCCACACTAACAGGTGTGAAAAGGAGTCAGGATATAACTTTTTAGAGTCTATATGCATGTACCCAATATAAACATTTTGACATTGTTAGGGCCCAGACCTAGATGTTGGGTGCCCATATATCCCGGGCTTCTGTTGATGTTGAGCCCTGTTTAAATGAAGGAGCATTTGATTTAGTAATAAGGCCTTCTCAGTGTCAAGGATTTTGAAAACACTTTAAAAAGCAAATTAATGTTTTTGCTAAACCATATTTGTCAACCATTCATAATTTCATTTTTAGGAGAAATAATTCTTAGTTTTTGTCCTTTACAATAATGTATAACTTCTGTGTAAAAAAAAGTATACAAAATAGATCTTATTCCTAATATGTTATGTGTAATGGTGGTAGGTGTGCTCAAGTAATTTGTAAACATATTATATAAGGTGAAATGAAAGAATCCATAGATACATAACATAGGTCACAAGTAAAATTACTTTAAAAATTCCAAGATAATAAATTGATACTGTTATTTCTTGAAATATCATTGCAACTTATATCAGGCATTTAGGCATAATTTATGTTGCCTACAATTTACTGTAAAGAGCGTTAAGGTGTCTTAGTCGAGTGGTTTAAACACTTGACTAAAGTTGTGAAGGTCATGGGTTCAAGCCCTGGTACCAGTGTCCTTTGGCAAGCCTTGATCTCAATCTGCCACTCTCCACCCGGGTGTTAAATACTGGTAGGAATTCATTCCTTGAATGTTGTGTGCATCAAAATCGGTATCCTAGTTAGAGCCGAGGTAATATTTGAGCGCCTAGAGTACCTTAAGCCTTGATATCCAATATCTCTCTCTTTCCTAAACATGAGCATAATTATATTAATAGATTGATGCCAGTAGGAAATAAGATTTCAAAGATTACGTGAAACAAATACTGTGTAGATGTTCTTCTATTATGAAATAATTTTATCTTTTGATATAATAAAGGCTGAAAATGCAACTCAAGATGTTTGTTTTTAACTACTTCATGATTTATGTGTGTATGCTTACTGTTTGCAAGTAAAGAACGAATAAAAAAAAATATACAAACTATCAAAAGTTTAAACATAATAATATACATTTATTACACTGGAATGAAAGACGTAGTCATCGGAATTACAGAAGGGATTTGAGATGAATAAAGAAAGACTCTAAGAGAGAGGGAGAAAGAAAGATGAATAGAAGGAGAAGTGGGGAATAGAAAGAATGAGAAAAACACAGAAGAAGAGTGGAGAAATTGAGAATTTGAGAGCAGAGAAAAGGGAGATATTATATACATCTACAGTTTTTAAGGGGGTATGTATGGGTGTGTGTATAAGGGTGTACATGTATGATTTATCTAGATGAGGAGGAGAGAAATGAATGCCCATGTAATAGAGAAAGGTGGAGAGAATGAGAAAATGCAAGATTATATTATAGGCCTACATGTACGTATGCCATTGTATACAGGAGACGGGAGAGAGAGAGAGAGAGAGAGAGAGAGGGGGGGGGGGGCAGAAAGAAAGATGAAACGGGTGAGAGAATAAGTGTCACGGAAGAGCTTCTCACAGAATTAGAAAGCGATTAAAACAATGCACATCTGGGTTCCCCAAACTAGCTAATTATGGACACCATTCCATAACCTGTCAAAAATGTCGAAATACTTAATGGCCCGATTCATCAGTTGAGGTTAGTCTCAAGCCAAAACCTTTGCCGAATTTGTTTTTTTCCTCTGGCAAATCGGACAAAGAGTTATGGACGATGACCGGAGATATAGAAAATTGTGAGGGAAATGATGTAGAGGTGTAGTGGTCTAGCGGGTACGTCACCGGAGTATGGATCACATGGTTCGTGGTTTGATTCCGGCCGTGCGGCACTAAAGCCCTTAGGCAACTCGGATAGTAATGTACATGTTGCCACTCTCCATCCAGGTAATGTAAGTGGGTTACCTGTAGGAAGAAATTTTTCAAATGCCAGTTTGCATTATCATGGTAGCTCGGATAATGCTGGGGGTATTACTAGTAAAGCGCTTAGAAGCATATAACGCGCTATACATGTACTGGTAGAAGTAGTAGTAGTAGTAAAGTAGTAAGTAGTAGTAGTAGTAGTAGTAGAAGTAGTAGCAGTAGTAGTATATTAGTAGTAGTAGAAGTAGTAGCAGTAGTAGTAGTAGTAGTAGTAGTAGTAGTAGTAGTAGTAGTAGTAGTTGTAGTAGTAGTAATATGGGGCAGGAGAAGAAGAACTATTTGGGAAAGGCGAACGTTATGGGGCGAAATTAAAATAGGGGGGGGATGGAGAATGCTTTTTTTTGTGACCGGCTGATAAATCCTTTTAAAAATGACTTTATTGTCTCACGGAAGGGGTATTTCTGTATTTGCTGCTATAACTCGAACAAATATTTACTCCGAACGGTATGTGAAATAAAGAGGCTGGGGAGGAGGCGAAGATCGTGAAAATGGAGAGAGAAATATGTGAAGAATTTGGAATGATTAAAGTAAGAGGCAAGCCGATGAGAAGGAGCGGTATGTTTTGTACTGGGTGCCGCATTCTGTTTTAAATTTTTCAAACTCATGGAGAAAAAAAATCAGTGTCAGAAAATGAACCTCATGGAGTCCGAAATTTAAAGCAATAAAGAAATTACCAACCAAAAACAAATTCAAGATCCAATGGAATTTAAACAGGGAAATGAAGGTTATGGGTTGTCAAATACAAAATGTTTGAACCGGCTGGAAAAGAGTCTAGCGTTGTAATTTTGTTGATAATCAAACTCTCCTGTTTCCCATGTATCAAGAAATGAATATGCCCTTGAAAAGAGTTTTTATTTCTGCGACTATTAATGGACCGTTGATACAACAACGTAGCTATTAGGGGAGATTTTCTGATCACGTTTCACAGAAATGTGGTTCGTCAAACACCTCTGTTTGGCGGGGAATATGATGAAGCGAGGGGTTTTCAAGTTAATGTCGGCGCTAAAACCGACCGCATAAAAACCAAGTACCTTGATTTCTCCAAACAATTGGACTTGGGACTGTCAGCGAACTCTTTTTACCTTTAACAAAAAGGGGAAAGAAAGAAAGAAAGAAATGGCGCCCCTAAATTGTGAAATCACATGTTGCAATATTTATGATTTATGCAGCAATATTGTTTATGTTATCATTATAGTTTATTTTGTTAATTGCTTGTATAATGACGAATTTGTTAATAATTATCATTAATGATCTCAGATGTTGTAAATGCATATGTTTATTAGGATAATAACTTTGTTCTTGCGAACAAAGTAATTAAAATATGGTTTTACTTCTTTTACTCCCAATTTTTTGCTACAAATGAACACTTAATGTAAATTTAAATTTTAGAAAATAAAGATAAAAAACGACAATAACTATAACAACAATGATGATTATCATGATGATGAGGAGGAGAAGGAGGATAATGATAATGGATATAAATCACAACGACCACAACAGCAGCAACAAGAAGAACAACAAGAAGAACAACAACAATAATAATGATAATAATAATAATAACAATACAAAAAATGACAATGATAATAATGATAATATTATAATAATCATAATAATTGATATAAAAAATAATTGAAAGACTATTATAGCAAGAAAGTAAGAAAAGAAGAAAAAAAAACACCCTTCCACAAATTCATCCATCAGCTCATTACAAAAACTGAAGAGAGATCTCCAAATTCGATCCTCACAAAAACAACAGCGTGGACAGTAACGTGGACAATAATTTCTGGTGGACAGTTTCAAACCCGACACCTATGATGCCTTATATAAAGAGGCCGCACCTCCATTTTTTTTCTGGGCTTCCACCACTTCGCAGTCGAGGAAAAGTTGCTGCCCTGGCCTCGAGTCCGACTTTCATTCCTATTCGAGTTTACCTATGAAGAATCGTCTTGGATATTCTTTCATCAAACGTTATCAGTGAGTATAATTATCTTGTCAATTATATTGTATATTTATTGAATTAACACGATCGTAAAAACTTTCGAAAACTCAACACAGGGCAATTTCAATTTGTGAACATAGCAATGACGTATTCGGATAAGATCGCTATGGGACTACAAATAGAGTACTATTGCAATTACCCCTGAGATGATTTTTTTTTCTCGAAAGTCTTTGTGATCGTTTTTTTTTTTTTTTTGCTCGTTGGAGCAGTTTTCTTCATTTGTCAAAATCATGGTTATGTGACAATTTACGCCATCCTTATGTTTGTTTATCTTTTTCTTGTTTTTGTTATTATACATGGCCTTACTGTAAAGCATCCGATGCATAGTTACAAAGTCATAAATAATGAGGTGAACTGAATTCCATTCGGGGTTTCATTAGTTATTAAGAAAAATATCGAGCTTAACTTAACATTTTTTCTTCTCAAAAAGACCTCGATATTACCAATATTAGTTAACTTTAAAAAAACGCACTAGGTCTAAAATAACACAATAAGGTGTTTACTTTCTCGCTGTCATCTTATTTACTCTGTTCAATCTGAGTTTCCTCTTTGAAGATTTGTAGATTGTAGATTTTCAAGAGGGTGGATTAAATGGATTTTGAAAAGCACTAAACTGCTTTAAATATTGATTGTTCTTAAAAGTATAGCTTTGTACCTTAATGTTTTTAATATTCGTCAACTTCAACATTTTGGATATCGTCTCACATAACACTTGTGTCCTCTAACATTTGTTTACTGTCATGTTGTCTACGTTAGAAAAAAGAATAACATTCATTTGCTTTCCCTCTCTGGAGATTTGCAGATTTTAGATTTTCAAGATGGTGGATAAAATTGAGGGAAAATGTCAATTATTCTGCAAAATAAGTTGATATTTTCAATATTCGTTTAGTACAACAATTCGTATTTCTACTAACATAACATTGAAGGCCTCACAATATTTAAAATGTAATTTGTTCTCCAAAGTACCTCGAAATTTTCAATTAAACAAAATGTACCTCGTATACCTTAATACTTAAAAGCATCTTGGAAATCTTATTATCTAATAGAAAAGAACACCACATTAATATTTTCCCTCTTGAAGACTTGTGCTTTATGGATTTTTAAATTGGTGGACAAAATTTTTTAAAACACCTTAAATACCTAAAATATCCATTGTTCCTTAAAGGTCAAGATCATTCCTTATTGTTTTCAATATTCGTTAACAACAATTTGCGTCTCGTCTAACTTATAATAACACTTATCACCTCTACAAAATTTCACTGTCTTTCAGTTATATATACAAAATACACTGATGCCTATAAAGTTGGAATAATGTATCCTTTTTTTCTTTTTTAATGAAATGATTGTGACAATACGATTTATTCTTGGTAGATTCAGTGTTGATCTTCTCAAAACTTTATTAATCAATCTCGTTGAATCTTAAGATTATCCAATAACGTTCTAAGAAGATATATAACAAATGCATCATTCCAACTTTATGCGCAATGCATTTTCCCTCTCTTTGAAGGTTTGTAGATTGTAGTAAGTTTCGAAATGGTGGACGAAGAGGCTTCAGCGGTGGTCGTCGACAACGGGTCAGGTATGTGTAAGAGCGGCTTCGCAGGCGACGATGCACCACGAGCAGTTTTCCCCTCGATTGTCGGTCGCCCTCGACACAAGGTGATTTTTCTTTCTTCCAAAAAAAAAAACGATCGCACAAGCTTTCAAAATAAAACCTACGGCAATTTCAGTTACGTCAGTAGCGCTGTCCGTCATATTGATTTGCGTATATGACATTAATGCGTATCATTCTATTAGCAATATAATAGCATATTGAAACCCCCCTCAATGCTAATTCTTGAAAGCCTCTGCGATCGTGATACAGTGACTAATATTTACACTCCATTTACCGCTCTGATGATTCCACATCTAACAAAGATCAGCCATAATCAACTCTGATTGATTGATTGATTGATTGATTTTTATTCGACAAGCTTCCAATATACAACAATATACAATAATAACAGATCAAAAATAAGTCAGCTTGAACAGGATAACCCACGAAAGCTCGAGAGCTTATTTCCAGTGGGGTCCCTTACAGACATGTATACAATTAATAAATTAAAATAGTAATATTTACAGACAGATAAGAAAATTAAAAGAACTACTTATTAAAGATAATAATAACAACATTAAACTGATGATAGAAATGATATTAAGTACAAGAAGAAAAAGAAGAAGGAGAAGAAGAAAAAGAGGAGAAGGAAGAAGAGGAAAATAATGATGAATTTGTAGAATTTCTATAACGTACGAAAACATAAGTATATACAACATGAAAAAGTATGAACCGACAGAAGAATAACAATTTCAATCATATAACATGTCATTCACTTCTCTTCTCTGACTGTCAAGTATTAGGTATTCCTTTAATTTCCTCTTAAAATGATCATAGTTTCCTATTTCTTTTACACCATTGGGAAGGGAATTCCAATGTTTTATGGCATTGTAATAAAACGAATTTCCAATACTACCTCCTCTTTCTGGTAAGTTAAAGTTGAATCGTCTATTTCTTGTATTATAATCATGTACGTCAGTAACAAGATCGAAGTTGGATCGAATATAATGATTCGCCCTAGTATGATATATTTTATGCACGTGATGCAATGCGAGTTGTTTTGATCTTTGGTCGACTTCAAGAAAACCAGCTTTAGAAAGTTCGCTATAGCCAACATGAGTTCTTGGACCAGAACAGTTGATAAATCTCACCATTTTGTTCTGTATAATCTTCAACTTCTTTTGATCTGACTTGTTTATGTTACTGTACCATGCAGGGTTAGCATAGTCAAATAAACATTGAATAAGAGCAAAACAGAGTGTACGTCTTGCTTTTAAATCCATACAACTTTGATATCTGTACAAAAATTTCAGACGACAATTTGCTTTTTTTACAACTGATTCTACTAAAGATGAAAATGAAATTGCGCTAGCCAACTCAATGCCTATACTTCACAGACTCTTTTCTCTTGATTGCTTGATTATTGTGTGTCACTTTGAATTCAAATGACTTTTTAGAACTACTTTTAGAACAAAATAAAATGCTTTCTGTTTTTCCCAAGTGTAAAGAAAGCTTATTATCAGTCATCCAATCGACACACGTAGACAGCTGTTCACTGAGCTTTTCCTCAATATATTTAGGATCAGGATTTGAATAGAGTAGTACGCTGTCATCTGCGTACAATAATAGTTTGAAGTCTTTTATACAAATACACATATCATTTATATAACTTGAAAATAGAATTGGGCCTAAAATACTTCCCTGAGGAACACCGCATGTTATAGGCATTAGTTTGGAACGAATATCATGAATGGCCACTACTTGGTGCCGATTAGATAAGTAGGATCTGAACCAATCTAAACTTGCCTTATCAAAACCCATTAGTTGTAACTTCTTCAATAAGACGCAATGATTAACTGTATCAAAAGCTTTTTGCAGATCAAGGAGCACCATACCAACAAAGCGTCCTTGGGAAGTTTCTCTCCTCAAATAATCAGTCAAATGAATTAGACATGTTTCAGTCGAATAATCATGTCGAAAACCAGATTGAAATTCATAAATTATATCATTTTCTTTGAAGTATCTTTCAATTTGAACACAGACCGATTTTTCTAGAATCTTTGATGCTACGCTTAAAACACTAATAGGTCTATAGTTGCTAACATCAGTTTTATCTTTCTTTTTATAAAGTGGAGTCACTTTTGCTATTTTCATATCTTCTGGAAAAGTACTCGTCAAGATAGATAGGTTCATTAAGTAACTTAGAGGCTTAAATAAAACCTTCGCACCATCTTTTAGAAATTTAGCTGGAATCAAGTCTAACCCAGTACTTTTTGATACATTCAACTTACGTAACTCTTTGAAAACAAATTGTTCACTGATTGGTAATAACTCGAAGCTGTTTTCACGTACACCTTTTCTTTCGTAAAAGTCACGAATACAATCATTGTCTGCGCTGAAAAAGTCTTTGGAAGGGGGGAGTTTGTCTACTAATTTGGCAGCCACATTTGTGAAATGAGAATTGAATTCATCAGCGATGGCCATCTTATCATGACATAATTCCCCATCAATTTTAATGACAGATTCTTGTTCTTTTCGCTTCTTATTTTTCAATCCTAAGCTTTTTAGATTCTGCCAAAGTTTTTTCGAATCTTGTTTATTTTCTTCTATCTTGTTTTGTAAGTAATCGAGTTTAGCCTTTTTCACCTCTCTTTGGACCATATTTCTTAATACTCTGTATCTTTTATAGAGCTTCTCATCTTTTGCTCTTTTCCTCCATTTTTTGTATACTATATTTCTCTCTTGAATTAGGGAAAGAATATCTTTAGTCACCCAAGTTTCTGATCTTTGTTTTATTCTTATCCGTTTCAGTGGCGCTATCATATTCAAATTTGAGATAAAAACATGTTGAAATATTGACCATGCCTCATTTACATCTGTACAGTCAGTTATTCGTGACCATTCAACAACAGATAGTTGAAGATTGAAAGACTCTTCTGTATATTTTTTCATGGATCTGATATCATTAGTCCTGTGATGACCTATAGCCAGTCTAACATTTTTCCGTGTACAGAAAGTAAAATAATGGTCGCTAATACCTAGATCAATGACACCACTTTGACTTATTTTATTTTCTTTGGTACAACCAACATGATCCAATAGAGAAGAACATGTAGGTGTAACGCGTGTTGCCTCTTTAATGAGTTGACTAAACCCATGAAGACTCAACAAGTCAATATATTTTTTAGCCAGTGGCGATTTGCGAAGAAGACAAATATTCATGTCTCCTAAAAGAATTATTTCGTCATCCTTCTTTAATGTATCAAGAATATTGGACAATTTCTCGATAAACAAATTGTTTTTCGGAGGTCGATACAGAACACCAACAACAATTGGTTTTGATCTTGGTATAAGCAAATTTATCCACAGGGATTCCGTATCTCCAGTACTTATAGCATCCATAATATTAAATGCAATATCATTTCTGATATAGAAACATACACCACCTCCAGAGCCAGAGGATCGATCATGGCGTATGATTTTATATCCGTCTATTTCAATTTCTTCATCATTTATGGAATTGTTTAACCATGTTTCAGTGAAAGCAATAATAGACAGCCTTTTTCTTTTAAAAAGAATTCTAAGTTCCGATATCTTGTTTAGAATAGACCTCACATTAAGGTGTAAAAAATGAAGACCTTTAACTTTAAACTTTTCTTCAAATTCTTGATAAAGAGAAGTGTTTTCATCTCTGAGGTTTGGCTGAATTACTCTTGCTATCGCTTGCTTTTCAGGTGTAACGCGCGTTATCTTAAAATAGTTTTCTTTTAGTCTATACTCGTTTTGGCTTTCTTTCTCTAAACAATCGTCGTTAAATAATGAGTCACAAAAAGATGGCAGACAACATGTTAAACAATTCCACTTCTCATCAGGGCATTCATAATATAACCTGCGGTACTCTGAAAAACTGATAGCTTGACAATTAGTGTGAAACCATTTTTTACAATAAGAACACAGAAGGCCGTGTTGATTACATTTGACTGGCTTATCACAGTTCCCACAACTATAATTTTCGGATCATCACTAGATTTTGTCATGTATAACGATCTCTTGTTATCAGCTATCACTATATTGGCGTAGCGAGAGTCCACTCAGTGATGTAGGCTCGGTAGGGGGGGAGGGGGTAGCCATCAGTCTTACTCCAAATTAGAAATGCGAAATTACGGGGCTACTGATAATGTAGAAGGAGACTGCACGAGGAAGTTTTTTTTTCCTCCTTTCCCGCTTCTCAATTTCCCTATATATGTTGTAAACGATTTTATTTTTATAATAATAACAATAATAGTAATGGGTTCTTGTACAGCGCTAATACCTGTCCCGATTAGTGTCGCGGCGAGACTCGTCTCGAATCGTGGACCTTACGGTGATCCGCAGTCCGGTGACATATCCACTCGACCATATATTATTTATGTTCATTTTCACCACTCAATTGGGTTCACCACGTGTCCACCATACCCCCTGTATCTACGCCATACACTGTAACCCCTGAGCAAGGGCGGATCTGAGGAGGAAAAAAAATATTATGATCTTATCTTGGTCAATATTTCTGATGTACTCCTCAAGCCCAGTCAATATAATATTTTTTTCTTCTTCAAAATCTTTTAACAAAATAAAAAAAAGCGTTGTATACATAAGGTAATAATATTGTTTAAGTAAAAGCATAGTACTACCCCTGAAGATAGAGAATGGGAAGAAACAACGGTAACCACATGGTGATAACTACAACGATGACGGTCGGTTTCGACGTCGATGTCGACCATTCCCTCCATCTTTTAAATACAGGGCGTAATGATAGGCATGGGTCAGAAGGATTACTACGTCGGAGACGAGGCCCAGCACAAGCGGGGGATCCTGAGCCTCCGTTACCCCATCGAGCACGGGATCGTCACCAATTGGGACGATATGGAGAAGATCTGGCATCACACTTTCTATAACGAGCTCCGTGTCGCCCCCGAAGAACACCCGTTGCTTCTAACCGAGGCTCCGATGAACCCCAAGACGAACAGGGAGAAGATGACGCAGGTATAATTTTTATGATATTGTGAAAGGGACAGTGGCGTATTAGTGCTGAGAGAGAGAGAGAGAGAGAGAGAGAGAGAAAGAGAGAGAGAGAGGGGAGAGAAAGAGAGAGAGAGAGAGAGAGAGAGAGAGAGAGAGAAAGGGGATTGAGGAGGGTAAACGAGGCCTTCCCGGCAATTTCCAATTCGGTTTATCTACGAAATAAAGAATTGCCCTGTATTAAATTGTGTCCCCAACAGTCGAAGTGAGAATTAAAAAAATGGAGACATAAAAGAAATAGAAATAGTTCTGACAAAACTATCATCCATGATAATCATCATTAAAATGTCCGACGAATTACATTTAATAATAGTTCGGTTCCTAAACTACATCTTTTTTTCGTCAAACATTTCTCAATGATGGTCAAATAAAATGATATATCCATCCCACCCCTAACAGATCATGTTCGAGACGTTCACATGCCCCGCGTTCTACGTTGCCATCCAAGCCGTGCTCTCGCTCTACGCCTCGGGGCGAACCACTGGTATGGTGATGGACTCTGGGGATGGGGTGACCCACACTGTGCCCATCTACGAGGGGTACGCCCTCCCCCATGCCATTACCAGGGTCGATCTGGCCGGGAGGGACCTCACCGATTACCTCATTACTCTGCTGACAGAGAGGGGATACTCCTTCACGACAACAGGTAATATATAATAGTAATAATAACAAACCGTTCTTGTTTAGCGCATATTAAATGACATCCCTATGCGTTTACAAATTTAGCTATGGCAGTCGTAGTCATCACACAGCTGCTTTTCAGGGAATAAATGATCCTACCAGTTATCCATTTAGCACCTGTGTGGAGAGTGGCAATTTTGGATAAGAGTGTCTCGAGTTGCAAAATGACATGTATGCCGGGCTGGGATTCGAACCGGCAACCCTTGGATTGTAGGTCAAATGAATAAACCACTATTTACCACAACACCACTCAAAGACTAATATTGTATTCAGTGGCGTAGCTACAAGGGGCATGGGGACGGGGTAAGGTGTACCCCCCCCCACAAACACACAAATAGTTCTGCGGAAATAGAAAGAGACATAGAGAGTGAGAGAGAGAAAGAGAGAGAGAGAGAAGATGAAAATAGAAGGAGCGTGATTTGAAAATAAAAGGTCCACCTTCCCCACCCCATACCTCCCCTTCTAATCCACAGCCTTTTTTATTAACCTAGAAAGACCGATGCCACGCCCCCTGTACCATCCTTTTTACTCCAAGAACATGTTTGCTTGTTTGTTTGTGTTATTGTTCCACATTCCACCTAACAAGATTGTCTCATACATAAAAGTTAACAAGAGAATGCATGATAAAACAATGATAGATATGTTACTTAGATAAGCTATATAGCTTTCCGAATAAAATACAAAAATATTGAAATTGAATTTGATAACGATAACGAAAGACCTAAAACAAAAAGTACGAGTCACTGACACATTAGCCATATATGACGTGAATGAGCCCTTTTAGCTCCATAAAGACACTGGTAATAATATAGGCCTATAAAGACATCACAGAGAACTCAGTTATTTCGTCTTTATTTTCTTTGTTATCATGGTTATGATTTTGTTGTGTTTAATTGCCTTGTTTCGTTTTGTTTGTAGATTTGTTTGTTTTTTGGAATGTTTAGTAATAGATCAATCGGATTTGTACACATAAATAACAATTTAACAATACACACTATGATAGATAAGCTAGATGTAGATAATTATATCCTCAGTCACATCAATGTTGTACACATAAAATATAGCGGGTATTACCATTTTAGTGATACACATCCATTTTCCAAAAAGGTACTCCATTTCCTCTATATCTCTCGCGGTCTCCCATCGCGTCCACCACGTTCGCTAATTACTTTTTACACGTACACATCTGCGCCTTGCCGCACATGCATGCCGGAGGCGTTGAACTCTGTTTCTCTTGGCATCCAAAATAAGGGAGAACAGTCTCATGATTCTGTATAGCACCCTAAAGTTACCAGTTTGTTATGCAGTAAACGAAGGGGAAAATAGAAGGATAGCTAGTTCCTTTTTTATCATTTCATAATAAAAACATGATCGATAAAATATGTGGCGTACATGCACAATTTTGTCCGGGGGGGGGGGGTGGTTGACGTTGCTAACCCGAATCAAAATAACCGCTTTCCAGATCTAAATTGCAAGAGAAAAAATGAATAAACATTCTATGGCGTTTTCAAATTGAAAATGTCATATTATCATCAAAATATTTTAATGCCATAGAGCTTTCAAATGGCTGGATATTTGATTTTGATTTGATTTGATTTATTTATTTCTGTTTGAGTTTCTTTTTCTTTTGCAGTTCATATTACAAACAAAATATGACAAAAGTAAGGCTGGCTGTAACTAATCAAAACATCAAACAGGAGGGTTGACAAAATAAGCAAGGCTTGATAGCATGACTACCCTCAATGCATACATAATAATACAAAATATGAGGAAGTGAAATTTCATCAACCTGGTTCGCCTAAATAGTGTATATAAAGGTCCGAATTTCGTATCTAATAATGCTGTAGTATAGAATTTAAAGAAATTTAAAACCAAAACACCTCTATAATGTTTGTTACAGCCTTACATCCTAGTGTGAGAGAGGGAGAGAGAGAGAGAGATAGAGAGAGAGAGTGAGAGGGAGAGGGAGAGAGAGAGAGAGAGAGAGAGAGAGGGGGGAGTGAGGGAGGGAGGGAGGGCGGGAGAGAGAACAGTCAAAACAGTGCCCCGTAACTGCTGTTTAGCTCTTTCTTTTCATATTTGTTTAACCAAATGCAAACCTGAAAATGTGATAAAATATGGTGCGATTTTGTCTTGCTTGTCGGATTATTTGGAATTGTGTCACTCCCCCACCCCCTGCTAATATTTCCAAAAGGATCACGAGACCGACAGCTCACTAAACCAACAGTGCATCCTTATTTATTTATTTGTTGTTGGTCTCGTCAGCCACCGGTCAAGTGAACCATCAGAAAAGTGGCAAGATGACGACCCAAGATACCAATATTTGCCTCTCAGAGCGTCTTGGGGCGTCGGTCTATAATTGGACCCATCAATTTCACGCGTCCGGTGAGAGCGAGTGAGCGGCATTGCCAATCTCTTGTGCTGTAGCCAGGTTTAATCAATATAAACTTAGTACTCTTTTTTTAATTTAAAAACTAAAAACTTGTATTTTCCCTCATAATAGCCGAGCGGGAGATCGTCCGCGACATCAAGGATAAACTCTGTTAATAATAATATTAAAGTGCATGAGACTGATTTGTATTTCTATCCTTATACCTTTCTATTTTGTTTGTCTCGTCAGCCACTGGTCAAGTGAACCATTAGAAAAGTGGCAAGAAGGCCCAAGATACCAATATTTGTCAGCCTCTCGGAGCGTCTTGGGGCGTCAGTCTATTGGACCCTCCAAAAAATGCCAGGCGTCCGGTGAGAGCGACATAGTCAGTCTCTTGTGCTGTAGCCATGTTTAATCAACATAAACTTAGTACTCTTTTTTTATTTTAAAACTCAAAACTTGTATTTTCTCTTATAATAGCCGAGCGGGAGATCGTCCGCGACATCAAGGAGAAGCTCTGCTACATCGCTCTCGATCTCGAACAGGAAATGGACCTGAGCAGTTCATCATCGAGCATTGATAAGACATACGAGCTCCCCGACGGCCAGGTCATCACCATCGCCAACGAACGATTCCGATGTCCCGAAGCACTCTTCAAACCCTCCCTCATTGGTTTGGAGGCGGCAGGCGTGCAGGACACCGCTTACAGGTAATTATGACTGATGCCTTTTGAACACGAGGCGTTATTTTGATTGCGTTCTAATCAGGAATGTGAATGTAATTCATCCATACGCCAGGAACTCAACGCAGGGTTTCATGTTCATTTTGCTTTCACTAGTGTACGATGTAACTCGGCACGTCAGAATCCGCTCCGATGATATTGGTGACGTAGAACTGCGTCAGCAAAGTGACGCCATGTATACACGAAGAGCTCAGGGCCCCGGGAACGATTTTTTTTTTCACCGGGGGTGCTGAGATATTCTTCTTCTTCCCAGAGTAGGAAGCATTTGCAATTTTTGAACCACATTAGGCGTATTTTCAGGCACTTCCTGGAGTAACATGACGTAAAATTGCTTTATTCTACCCCCTCCAAGAGTAGGGATCTTTTGCAATTTGAGAACCACATTTGGCGCATTAATGTCCACCGGCACTTCCTGGAAAAAAGACGAGGCCTTCTGATCGGTTAGAAGTTAGAGAAAAGTAATCTGTCACGTCGCGAGACGTATATGCTCCGTTGCTGCACAATGCACAAAGATGGTGGTTTGGCCTTATACATCACCAGTACTTCACCAGTAGTACTTGCAAAGTGTCTAATAACATTTATATGTTATTAGGGGCGTCGATCGCTATACCTTTTTCAGTGGGGGGGGGGGGGGGAGGTGTAGAGGCCACCGATTACCGACAAAACTAGCTACCAATTACCGACAAAATATATTAAAGGTAAAGACCAGTTTTGGAAACGCCCCCTCTCACAAAATGAAATGGAAGCTCTTATTATACCAATCAGGTGAAAGAATATGTTTTGGCAAATACGTGTGAATACATATGTTGACGAGAAACTGCGTACTGATTGATATATTTGGTAAATTGTTATATCTATTTGGACCTGATAGATATCGCGCACGTGTCACGCACGTGTCGCGTAGTCTAATATACATTTTTCTGTGTTTAATGCTTGTAACTTTACCAAGACTGTGCCAAAAATTCTTATCATTTTGATGATTCTATGCACAACCTTGCAGTACACACTTATATGCTAGATAATTAACCTTTTTCTGATCGATTCCACAACGTTTCTTTCACAATGCAATCGCATAACTGGTCTTTTAATCTGTAATGCCAATGTCCCAATGTCAACAAATTTAACCGTATAAACCCGGGGCCAGGAACTAAGTTATTTTTCAGTTCCCCCTCCCGTGCAAAGCGCGGAAGCTTTGACACTTCATTAAATTATTAGAGGAAGAAAACGATTCGTTGTACCGTTCCCGACTCTTAATTCTGGTTTTGCCCCTCCCGCGCGAAGCGCAGAAGCTATGACGTTTCTTGAATTATCAGTTAAAGAAGACGATTCGTTGTACCGTTCTCGACTCTTAATCGTTGGCTGAATTCAGTTGCCCCCTTCTCGCGCGAAACGCGTTTGCTTTTACGTTTTATTAAATTATTAGAGATAGAAGACGATTCGTTGTATCGTGTCCCTGTCTGAATTCAGTTTCCGCCCTCCCGCTCAAAGGGCGGAAGCTTTGACGTTTCATTTCATTACCGGTATTACTTGTAATCCTTGTCTGAATTCATTTCATTCATCCCGCGCAAAGCGCGGAAGCTTTCACGTTTCATTAAATTATTAGAGAAAGAAGACGATTCTTTGTACCGTTCTAGACTCTTAATCCCAGTCTGAATTCAGATGCCCCCATCTCGCGCAAAGCGCGGAAGCCTCGACGTTTCATTAAATTATTAGAAAAAGAAGACGATTCGATGTACGTTCTCGACTCTTAATCCTAGTCTGAATTTATTTTCCCCACCCCCTCCATCCGCGCAAAGCGCGAAAGCTTTCACGTTGACATTTCACTGGTCGCGTGCCAGCTAGGGATACATGTTATAGGATTTTGTGAAAGAAGGTATAACAACAAAGAAAAGGAAAAAGCGTCGTTGTGTCTGTTGGCTGTGGGACAATTTAGTAAACGAAGCATAATGATATTATTGATAAACATTAAATATATCATACAACAAAAATTGTTCAGGGGGTGCTGGGCCCCGCTTCCCAGGGCCATGGAAGAGCTCTCCTATTTTCGTGCAATCAAAATCTCAAATATTTCAATTTATTAATTTATCAAGGTGAGCATTTTGGTTAGACTGCTTTCGTGTTATATTTGACGGTGTATATTCGATGTTAACTACCGATGTTTAAAGTGTCGTCATTATTTAGGCTAATGAGGAAGGCAAGTAATTTAGTAAGAAATAGGCCTACTTTGATGAGCATGCCTTCAACTTCAATAATTATCCGAATGACGAGGTGGGGGCACAGGTCAACAACAAAAATCTGACAAGCAACAACAACATTACAACAACAACAGAAACAAAAAGAAATGTGGATCTCTCATTTTTTTCGGAAGGGTTATGATTATATACGGTTATTAGGTTAGCTGTTACCATACCCAGGAAACCAAACTAGCGCAGCAATTGTTTCCTATCTATTTGTCCTTCGTACTATTGTTTTTAACCTGATATATGTCGATTTACCAAATGAATAGAAAATACATAAATAAACAAAAAACAAATCTTTTCCTATACACAGTGGTATTCTGCGGTGTGACGTCGACATCCGCAAGGACCTCTACTCCAACATCGTTCTCTCCGGCGGCACCACCATGTTTCCTGGTATTGCAGATAGGTTGCAACGAGAACTCGTCAGTCTAGCGCCCTCTACAATGAAGATCAAGGTGGTTGCACCGCCAGAGAGGCGTTACTCGGTGTGGATCGGCGGGTCCATCCTCTCTTCGCTGTCGACCTTCCAGCATATGTGGATCAGTCGGGCCGAGTACAACGAGACCGGACCTGCCATTGTACACCGCAAGTGCTTCTGAGGATTCTTGAGGTGTCTCTTTGGTTCAAAGCCCCATGCTCTTGGACATGTGTTTCATGGTCAATATCCAGCTTCAATTGATGCAGCTCTCGACCCATCACTCTTCCTTTACCCATTACTAACCCTTAAACAAACCTAACACCCAACTGCAGGCCTAAGCATAAACATTTACAGAAATAAAGTCCGTAGCAATTGTCATCGGAGCAAAGTCGAATCACCGTCTCTTTGGGCACATTCAGGTAGACTAACGCAAAAAAAAAGTCGTGCATGAATAGCAACTGCACGCATCAAAGATACTACACGGATTCGCTTAGCTCTGCTAATACGATCCTCCTGCGATCAGATTATCGAAGAAATTACCATTTGAATTTGGAAATATAGCAAAAATGTTCTTCCTGGTTTAGGTTCTAAATACTTATAAGAATACGAACAACTGGTTTTAAGTGAATTTAACTGTTCTAGTCAGAGCTTTTTTATAATTTAGAACCAGGATGATTTCAGGCAGCGAAGTGCGTAAATAGCTCAATATTTGGGCAATGAAGTACCCGAATGTATATTATATGTTTTATATCGAAATTACATTTTTTACCACGCTCGTTAAGAATCAGGATAATTCTGGCCAACGAGATGCCCGATCATATCCTCATATTCGTATATCGGGGTGATAAAATATATGATTTCTATATTCATGTATATTCGGCGACGAGGTGCCCGCAAATATTATTTTATATCTTATCTATAGTATGTAGGTAACAAAATAATTTTTGACTATATTGACCAAACCTTTTTGTTTTAACGTAACGTGTGTATATGGCCTTTGACATGGTGATGAAAAAGAATGTTCTGTGATAAATTTGGGGTCAAGGTGACGTAAAACTTTTTCTTTCTTTGAAGAATGCGGTGACTTAAAAAGGGAGGGAAACGCCAAACTATGCATGTATATGATTATATCAAAGTATCAAAGTTTCATATAAGAATCGTCGTGAATTTAGTGTATTTGTAATAATATATAAACATAAAAGTAATAGTAACAGTAGTGGTGGTAGAAGTAGTAGTAGTAGTAGTAGTAGTAGTAGTATAGTAGTAGTAGAAGTAGTAGAAGTAGTAGTAGTAGTAGTAGTAGTAGTAGTAGTAGTAGTAGTAGAAGTAGTAGTAGTAGTAGTAGTAGTAGAACTAGGGAAGAAGTAGTAGTACTGATAGTAGTATTAGTATTAGTAGTAGTAGTAGTAGTGTTAGTATTAGTATTAGATGTATTAGTATTAGTAGTATTAGTAGAAGTAGCAGCAGCAGTAGTAGTAGTAATAGTAGTAGTAGTAGGAGAGGAGTGGTGGGAGCAGTGGTTGTGTTAATAGTATATGTAGTAAAAGAATTTTGACTTTGAGAAGATTATTACTTTGAATGATTTAGAAAATGTCCATCTACATGTATTTGTAAACAGCGCTGGATATTGCTTCTGGAAATGAAATTGCTTGTTTTCGTTGATTATGGCGGAGCGTGTGTTCATTCTTGTTAGCGATGGACTAAATTAGGGGGGGGGGGGGGGGGGGGGGGGGGCTAGAAATGGGGAAAGAATCGGTTTGTGTTCTTGAGTTATTTTTATTTCTCTCTTCCATTACTTTCTTCCCTTTGGCCCTTATGGTACTTCGATGATACTTTGTGTTCAAATAGCTATTAACGTCAATCTCAACACAACCCCTAACCCTAACGTCAACCCTGGACCCAAAATTATCCTTTAATACCCTAACCCTAAACCTAACCTAAACCCAAGTGCAACCGTAACCCCTCACTTATGATGAAATGAAGTTCGGGTAATTGTCGCCGGAGTAAATGTGACATAATCAAATCGGAATCCATTTACAAATAATCATACCAAAGACAGATCCAGGATTATTAAAAGAGGCGGGGTCAAGGGTTTCCCGATATAACTATTTTTCGGGAACGTGAATATGTCCTCTCGTCAGCCCTTCTCTGTCAGTTGGGGAATCCTGTGCCTTCCAATGGCTCTCACAGTAAATTGGAATTCTAGGAAAATAACACGGGAATCTTACTTCGCAAATCTAGCCGCCCTTTACATATTTGGTAAATAATTGACCCAGAACGGGTTGATTATGTGTCTAACCACCTTTGGGCATTTTCTTTACCAAACTTGAGTAATATATTATCTAATTTGGGTCGATATGTAGCATAATTAAATCAAGCAAGGTAAACAAAAAATGCGCAAAGTTGGTTGAATACTGTCATTATTACCCTTGTGGAACATCTGAGGATTGAGAATGCAAGGCTAAAAGTCGTGTGGAATTTTTGCTTCCCTAATAATAATAATTTTTTAAAGCCCCTCCCTCTTCCCAAACAAAATAGGGTAATGAGAAGCTTGACGATTTTGACCAACCCCTGCCACCTAGTTACCCTATCATTTAGAATTTTTCGCTCTTTGATTAATATGCACAAAACGTGTTATTGTTATTAAAGAAAGATTAATGTTACTTTAAAATGTTTAATATGAAATATTCATGTATAAGCGAGATTATATCAGATCCTTAGCTTGTGTAATGAGTTGTAGATTGTACATTTGACGTGTAAACCAATAAAATACTCTTTTTTTTTCTTAAAATTTAAAATTGTCTTGTGGATATCAGTTTTCGTTGAGGGCCTGGAGGATAAGAGGTATGTTACATAACTTTGATATGCTTGTTGGCGGATCCGGGATGGTTTTCACGGAGGTGGGGGGGGGGGGGGGGGGGGGGACACTATGTTCGTCGTAATATTCGATAACTTAGATGGGGAAAAGATTGAAAAACAAAACAAATGCAATGCAACTGCAACAGGAAGGAGTTATTAGATTATAAGCATGTCTAGCAATTTAAGATTTTTGTTTGGTCGATTGTTTGTTTTGCTAGTTTTCTTATCCGGCCGTCGCTGATTTGCATCGGAGGATATTTGTCGTTGAACCTTATCAGCATGTCAACGAAAACTATACAGTACGTCCCAGGAAAAACGAAACCGAGACTTATCGATGTTTTATCATAACTTGATCCAGGCGCGTACGCAGGGGGGGGGGTTTAGGGGGTTAAACCCCCCCCTTTGGAAATTTTTTGTGTGTAAACCCCCCTAAAAAAAACCTAAAACCCCCCCTTTTGGATTTTTTTTTTTTTTTTTTTTTTTTTTTTTAATTATTAAAAAAAAAAAAAAAAAAAAAATTAAATTATTCCCATGGCCGACCTAAAAAAGGTGACCTTACCCCCCCAACGGAGCAAAATGTCAAATTTCCAATTTCGAGACCAAAAAAAAAAAAAAGTGTCCTCTTACCCCCCCCCCCCCCCCCCCCCCCCCCCCCCCCCCCCCCCGCTTATTCAGCGGTCGGCTGAGTCGTTGCGATTTTTTGGGACCAAAAAAAAAAAAAAATGTGTCCTCTTACCCCCCCCCCCCCCCCCCCCCCCCCCCCCCCCCCCCCCCCCCCGCTTATTCAGCGGCTGGCTGAGTCGTTGCGAAATTTTCGGACCGATTTATAAATGTTAAAACCCCCCCCCTTGAAAAAATCCTGCGTACGCGCCTGACTTGATCACAATTATAATTAATAGATGACACATATTTGTAAAGCTTAGTGATTAAATCAATTTGAAGAGTGGGTAACAAAAAGTCATTTGGCGAACGGTATCTGAATTTCAAAGGGAAAATCACATTTCCAGAAAGTTCATTTTCTGCCCTTTCATGACACCTTTATCAGGAAAAATGTGCTTGGAAAACAATTTTCTGTTTGTTTAAAGTAATGCTTGCATTTCCATAAAACGACCGATTAAACGAACTCGTTTTCACTGGCTGCCTGCCGTAGCAACAAACAAAGAAGACGAAAGACTTTATGCATTGCTGATTGTCATCCAAACGGAGTAACTCCATTTCGTTGACGATCAGCCATAGACGGAAAACTACCCCCGGACAAATACCCCATACAACTACCAAGGGGTAGTTGTCCTAGGGGTAGTTGTTCTATAGGGGGTAGTTGACCGGGGTAATTGTCCCGGGGGTAGTCGTCCTAGAGGGTGGTTGCCCTAGGAGATAGTGTCCGGATACGATGGTGAACATAACAATATAATATAGGTCATATCAAGATTTTAAAGATTCAACTGTACAGCTAAATTTACGAGCTCCATAACGCCATGCATTCATCAATGTCACATCTAATAAAAATGCAACATTGGTGGATGTATAAACAAAAGCAAAGTCTATTATCACACCTATTTGGGTTAGTGCGTATCAATAAAAACTTTGGTAGCTTTTAACTAAACAGTTATATTGTGCTACCATGGATGACTGAGCAGCAGGCTTTTTGCACCAACAGCCTTTTCACACACAGCTAAAATTCTATAAACATGATTAGTTTAAAGGGCTTTAAACTAATCACCTGAACATACAACATCATTCACACACAGAAATTTCGGTGCGATCGTTAATCGTTTCGTGATTAACTACTGCTCGTAAAATGCGCAGTAGTGCCATTGCGCATTGAAGGTCATGTCATATCTGTAGTGATAGCTACAATTTGTTTTACAGAGTCTGCAAATACAGACTAGCATGTATAACTAAATATAGAATGACCTGCAACCCATGACTCATGCCAGGTCATGTTATGAAACAATGAGTACTTGTACATGAGATGCCTACAAAGATGTCTGACTGACATAGAGCCTCAATAAAGCTATACAACTTATTAGTTCAATCAAAGCTCTCCAACTGGTCTTTTATAAGAACATAATATGGTGTCAGAAGTGGGATAATATGGTGTCAGAATAGCAGCCAGTGTTTGTGCTGAGCAACCCAGCCTACAGTATATATATGGAGGAATCATTGAAATCAGGCCAGTTCAATCCAATTCTTTGTGATGTGAGAGATGATGGGAGGGCTTAGAGTCTAAGTGTATGTCCAGTGAATGTAGTTATGTCCATAATAGTTAGCGCTGTCGTTGTATGGATTGGAGTGCATAGTTTTGTGCCGGGCCAGTTCCAGTATATAACGGGCAGTATAAGCGTGACATATATGGGACATGAACATACAGAATAACTCAGTGAAAGTTAATAGTTGAGCTTAAAGTAATTGTTGCAAAAGAATGGGATTTTCACCATACTACATCGAGTCCATATTATCCGCAATCCAATGGCCTCGCAGAGAATGCTGTGAAGATTGTAAAAAAAACTCATATTGAAGTCACAGCACAGTGGACAGGATATCCACAGAGCTCTCCAAGTCTATCGCAGTTCACCACTATCATGCGGAAAGTCTCCGGCAGAACTCCTCTACAATCGTCGACTTCGATCAAATCTCCCCATGCTTGACAGTTTACTCGACATCCAACAGGTCAATACTCGATCAGTGAGGGGAAGAAAGGAGGATCATAAGGTGAAGCAAAAAGAGCGATTCGACAAACATGCTCGAGACTTGTCAAAGCTAAAGCCTGGAGATCATGTGATACTCCAAGACATGAAAACCAACACCTGGTCGAAACGTGGTACTGTCAGGTCTGTCCAGGATCGAAACAGATCATATCAGATCGAGACAGAAACAGGAGAGATGCGTCGCAGAAACAGACGTCACATCAGGCCAGTCCCACTTCAACAACAAGCCGAGTCTA